AGAAACACTTTGCAGATACTGCCAGGAAGAGGAGAAGACCGCAGAACACATTTTGTTTCTGCGAAGGTCTATGTAGGTGCAGGTTATTGCAGCTAGGACAAGAAAAACCACATGCAAGATCCTACACCAAGGAACCGCTGGAAAAGCTGTGGAGGCTGGTTAATCGCCTAAAGCTGGCTAGTAAGTTACAATTAACAGAGGAGCACAATAGATCTATTTAGGTCGAGGTGCAGTAGGCCTTGTGGCCGCCTCTCTTATCCCTATCTCTATCCCTATCCCAATCCTCGAGTAGTTTTTGTGGGGTCAGTTTCAACTAAAGCCTTTAACTGGTACTTGTCAACACAGAATGGCCACCTGTTTTGCTTGTGAGGTCATAATCTCCAGTACAGAATTTTTGTAATCCAAGACTGCCCTGTTGATTCATTTATGGTTCCTTGCGCCCAAATCTCATTAATTTTGGGTTTGCCCTGCACTTCGCCCAAGTTTAAATTCATAGAAATAAATTTACCGAAAATCGCTCTTAGACTTCATTTTGTTTGAAGGCTCTGAACAAACTGAATTAAATGTTTTTACTAAAAAGATTGTAAGAGAAGGAAAGCTAGGCTTTAAAATGATATGCGTCCCTTAGCATAATGGATTAGTTTTGTTTACACAATTGGTATTAAAAATGAAGCGAAAAGGAAAACCTGCATTTATTTTGCATTAACTCAATACTAAGGACATTTGTGAATAATAAAACTAGTATCACAGTACATTATTATAATTATGTTTGATGTACGTGTAAATAAAATTTAATAAAGAGGTAGAATAGGATAGGAAAGGTGGGAGAAAGTGGTTTACCCGGGGGAGCCTCAGCTTTCAATTAGCCTCCTTGGGCCTTGGGCCAAAGTTGGCTTTGGAAGCCTTGCCTTTACCGAAAACTCTACTGCCAATATATATTGGCGGTAGTTCACAGAAAATCAATCAGGACAAAATTAATATTTCTTTCTATAACAGGAATATTTTTGTCGTCTCGGATGTTTTTGGTTTGTCAAACGAGGGATTCGGCATTTTGCCACCTTCTGCGGTTGATTTGACACACTTTTTGTGTGTTTGTATGTTTGCAGAACCTGGATTTTGAGGGACGACCGAGCATGTTCAAAATTTGACAGGCATTAACAAAATATGTCACTAATATTTTGGTTTTTATTGTAATGACTGACCAGTTTATAATGGAAAAAGGATGATGATGGTGAAAGGAGACTAGAAAGGGGGTGTTTTTGTTCCCTAAGTACTGCATCCTCTTGGCTTATTGTACTTTTCCTAGTTCCTTAGTTCATTCAATCGACTCTATCCCTACGAAGTACTAGGTCATTTACTGTCGTTGCTGCAATTCCTCTCCCTGGGTTTTCTTTGAATCCCAGGTTATGTCTGCATGAGAAGTTGCTTCACATTCTTCAGGGTGGCTGTTTTCCTCCTCTTCATTCCATAAACTACAAATGGCGTCATCATTGAATATTCGTGTCGTGTAGATAATTTTTCAGATGGCAGTGACTAGTTAATAGTCCTGTCGCTCCTTTGAGTCTGCCAGTCAGTAATTCAAAGTCCTCGCTCTTCCACCCGTCCATCCCGTCCTCGCCCCTTCGAATGACCAGTTATTCAGCCCTATGATTTTTTTTTTCTTCGGGGTAAAACATAGCTGAATAACAAATGAAAGCGGATTGTGCTGATTTTTCACCTCGTGATACCAGATAGATAGGAATGTTCTATTTTTCTTTTTACAGTATTTATTAAAATAATTACACCAATGGAAAAAGGCTTTGCCACTGAGCAAACCAGGCGATTTAGGCAACGAAATTTTTTTTCTAATAAAGGTAAAATGAATCTTCAGGGTTTAAACAAAAATCGAATCCACTTAAGTCTCTAGGCAAAGCATATTTCGTGGTGAAGTTGAGCAATGACAAACTTGACAACGATAGCATAAAATATTAAGTGGCACCAGGTAGAAGTTAAATTATTGGCCAATAATTTAACGTTTATTTCGATGAAAGTTCATTAGATACTGCCATATTCTCAATACATAGTTTCACATAAAAAACCCACTTATACCGGAAATGCTTTCAAAAGCGAAGTTCACTTCTGATTATATATTTCCTCCTTAAGTCTACAAAGGTGCCCCACTAAAAACATATATTAACAAAGCTATTGTACCACACAAAATAACAAACAATACATGTCATGAATCATGCAGAAAGTTATTCATTGTCTTCGATTATATTTTTTCTAATTAGCTGATTAGAAAAAAAATTAATGGTTAGATGTGAAAATAAGTTGTGGTATGCATTAGATAAATGATTAGGTCTTTGAATTGACAAAATTCGGCTGGCCTTGTTCGCCAGTGTTCTTTCCTACTCTCCGTTTACCCTTAAAACGACCGTTGATAATTGATTATTCTATCAACTGACTCCCCTCCGACCTTGACCTATCTTAGGCCGAAACGAAATTTATACCCCCAAGGATATGTTCTTAAAAGAGGGAAAATTTCGCTTGTGTTTCTTCGCGTCAAAATAATAATATAACTTTTGCACCAAATGGCTCAATTTGTCAAGTCCCTTCTGCTTTTCTGAGCCCAGAGCGTTCTTAGAAAACTGTCGATTTAGGTTTACATTTTCACCTGACAATAAAATTGGGTAACACACGTGCGTAGACATTACAAGATATCGATCTTGAAGTGAAGATAAAATGTAATTAGCCCAAGATAACATTCACCTTTATTTAAAAAAATTCAAGAATGACAGAAAAATTAAACTTCATTGTACGAAATCATCATCTCAAAATTTATGATGAAATACAGCTAATTTTTTTAATTGACCTACTTGAAATATAGATTTTTTTACTGCGTAGTTTTCTTAAAATTAACGCACTGGAAATACCGTTAAAAAGAGCTTGGATAACAAATATGTGGAATGAAAAAGAAAGAATTAAACAAACGGCGCAGAGGTTATACTAGACCGTCAATACTTGGAAAACAGACGTATTGAGCATTCTGTTCTAATTTTCAATTTTAAAAATCATGATTGATAAGCCAACTTTATATCATAGAAATCATTAGCTTGTATTTGAAATATAGAGTTTTTTGGGTGCGTATTTTTTCCTTAAAATTAATGTACTGGATAAACCGTTAAAAAGCGCTTGGATAACATATCTGTATAATGAAAAAAAGAATTAAACAAACGGCGCAGAGATTAGGCTAGGCCGTCAATACTTGGAAAACAGACGTATTGAGCATTCTGTTCTAATTTTCAATTTTAAAAATCATGATTGATAAGCCAACTTTATATCATAGAAATCATTAGCTTGTATTTGAAATATAGAGTTTTTTGGGTGCGTATTTTTTCCTTAAAATTAATGTACTGGATAAACCGTTAAAAAGCGCTTGGATAACATATCTGTATAATGAAAAAAAAGAATTAAACAAACGGCGCAGAGGTTATACTAGGCCGTCAATACATGGAAAACAGACGTATTGAGCATTCTTTCTAATTTTCAATTTTAAAAATCATGATTGATAAGCCAACTTTATATCATAGAAATATGACTTTGTATTTGAAAGGAGACCAAACCCCTTGTTAGATTGAAATATAGATTTTTTGGCTGCGCATTTAAAAAAAAAAATAATGCTCCGGATAAACCGTCAAAAGAGATTGGATAACAAATCTGTGGAATGTAAAATAATGAATTAAACAAACGGCGCAGAGGTTATACTCGGCCGTCAATACATGGAAAACAGACGTATCGAGAATTCTGTTCTAATCATTTTCAATTTTAAAAACCATGATTGATAAGCCAACTTTATATCATAGAAATCATGACTTTCTATTTGAAAGGAGACCAAATCCCTTGTTAAATTGAAATGTAGATATTTTGGATTCGAATTTTTTTCTTAAAATTAATGCACTGGGTAAACTGTTAAAAAGCGCTTGGATAACAAATCAGTGGAATGAAAAAGAAAGGATTAAACAAACGGGGCAGAGGTTATACTAGGCCGTCAATACAGGGAAAACGTATTAAGCATTCTGTTCTAACCATTTTCATTTTTTTAAATCATGATCGATAAGCATTTATCTCATAGAAATCATGAGTTTGTATTTGAAATGAGACTGAATTCCTTAATAGATTGAAATATATTTATGATAACGTATACACAATTTTATAGTTTTTTTAATCTTAAGCTGTGCTTATTATTGAGATACTCTTAACTTCGAAATTTCGTACTTAAATTTATTATGGTAGGTAAGTTTCGAGAGCTAATTCAGTTTTTTTCTAACAAATTATTTGAACCAACGTACTCGATGATTGAGTGCGCATTAAGCCTAGAGGCCATCTGCTCAATTCCCTAGTGGGGCGGGGCCACTGTTCGGTGTTTAATCGAAAACACTCTTCTATTGTTTCTTCTTCTTCTTTTTTTTAAATTCACGCTTCGTCTGAAGGAGCTAGGTCAGGACTTAGGTGACTATTTTTTGAAAAAAGAAACTTTTTACCAACGCATAAAACATTATTAACGCTAAGAAGAGACCATTGCTCGGGAGGGTAGTAGCTTCAAGGAGTCAGGCTCGGACTTAGGTGAGCTTGGTAGATGCTTCATTCCCTGGTTAAGCCATTGCTTGTAATTTGATCAAAAACTGTCTTTTAATACGTTTTGTCAATACGGTTCGACTTTTCCTTCTATTGTTAAGGGGAGGTGGTTGTCTGACGGAGCCAGGCCCGGACTTAGGCGGGTGTGGTTGCCTTGAAACTTTTTGCGCCATACCAAAATGTCAAAAACGTAGATCCATCGAGCAATGAATTAAGAAGTCCTAGGTTCCAACCTCCTACTTTACAGACCAGGTAAGCCTTCGGGGTGAAAGCCCATATGAAGTTAGGTCAATTACAATTAATCCTAGCTTGCCTACATTTCGTACTAATGCGGTACATCAAATATTATTACACTATTACTTTTGATATATAATAAATATATTTACCATTTGATATCTGATATGTGTGGCAGTTGAGGAGACTCCCTCAGTAAGTTGGACGGAGCCGATGCTGCTTACATCCTCTTCAAAGTCTGCCTTTTTATATCTGGTCATCTGTAACACAAATGCTCTAGATAAAAAAAAGTTCTAATAAGGCTTCAGTATTTTCAAATGATTTGACAGGAAAACCCAATTCCACCACTATTATAATATAAATCTTTCTATTGTGCAAGAGAAGATGATAGAAGGTACCTCGTTATTTTCTTATAAAATAATTCATCTATTTTAAGCAGGGGATTCTGACATGCTTTTCACGAATTAATTAAGTACAGAGAGCAGGTAAAATTCGTCTTGAAGAGCAACCCATCGAGTTAAACCGATTTAGAAGATCGGGACTGTAAGAGGAAGAAGAGGCCTAATCAGTCCTGACCTTGTATCGTCTGAGCCTACCCCGATACCAGTGCTCTCAATTCACAAAGCAATTCGACAACCATAAATGCTGTTTGTGAAATTTCCACTATTAGAAATAATTCGATTTGGTCTGAGCTGAACATCTCCGATTTCACAGCCGACAACACTAAATATTAGGAAATAATAATTAATTAATGTATCAATTACGTCATGTAGAAGCGGAGCGAGCTGCGGGCCCGCAGCCGTCTCGTGAAAGCCAACGGAAGTACTTTAAGAGACATCCTCTCGGATCGCGCTGGGTCATGTCAATGAACAAAGAACAGTGGAGAATTTATTTATACGGTATTTATACTGAAGTTTTTAGCATTTATATCTTATAACCCTAGATAGATAACGTTTTCAGTATGACGTACAAATCACCGTCCTATTAACTTACTGACCAAATTATAACAATCAAGTTGTTTAATTGGGTCAATAAAACAACTTATGTTAGTACCTACTAAAAATAACCTGTAAATCTTCTTAAAATCACATTCTTGTTTATTTTTTATTGATATACAGGGTGTCCCAGTTCCTTCTAACGAAACTCAGGGAATCGATTCTACTCTTCGTTTGGAGCAAAAAGTGCTCAGGAGAAAATTTTCGGAAAGTTCTCTATTTTGAAGATATTCGTCAATTTAGGTTTTTTTCAACTTTTCACTACCTTACCACATAAAAACGCTTACAACTTCCAAAATGTTGAGACTACAACAAATCCAATTACACCATTTGAAAGAACGCTAAGTTTGCTGTAAGATACTTATTTGCAATAATCTGAATGACATAAAATGTTAGCCAATATCAGGTGGAACATGTCAAAATTACAAAATTTAAATTTTGGTCATGATTGCACGTTCTACTGAGGTTACAAAATAAATACACACAACTTGTCAAATTTTACAAAAACTTCTTCATCTAATATGCTTTACGTTGATATATCCAGGTTTTTAAATAACGTACTAGCAGTTGTAGGTATTTTTTTGTAACCTCAGTAGAACGTGCAATCATGACCAAAATTTTAAATTCTGACATGTTCCACCTGATATTGGCTAACATTTTATGTCATTCAGATTATTGCAAATAAGTATCTTACAGCAAACTTAGCGTTCTTTCAAATGGTGTAATTGGATTTGTTGTAGTCTCAACATTTTGGAAGTTGTAAGCGTTTTTATGTGGTAAGGTAGTGAAAAGTTGAAAAAACCTAAATTGACGAATATCTTCAAAATAGAGAACTTTACGAAAATTTTATCCTGAGCATTTTTTGCTCCAAACGAAGAGTAGAATCGATTCCCTGAGTTTCGTCAGAAGGAACTGGGACACCCAACATATATGTATATTGACGAAACTATAAATATATTTATTTATTTATTGGGGACGTGTAATTATGCAGTCATATCGACCTTCGGGGTTCCGGTGTTTAGTTTGTGTCCGTACTTTTTTCCGTAGAACTAATCCTCTAATCCTCTGCACAGTCTATACCGCTGACATACATATCTAGAAACACCCACATTTCGACCTTCGCACGACACCGCAATCCTTTCCCCACACCTTGACTCCGGCAAAAGCAGACTAAGATCACCTAGACGTCCTTACCGACTGGTGCACTTGGTGACGTTCAGGCTTAGAAGAGGTATCTGTACCAGGGCACGTACACAGCAAGGTATCCCCCACCCAACCAAACGCTACCTTGGGTTCTATTTGAACAGCAGACTTACATGACTTATATACGCACAAGGCAAAAAGCCAAGAACAGAACAGAAGAACCTACTTGAACCAAAATCCGAGTATACACAACAAACTAACAATGTACAAAATACTAATTGGACCTTGGACTTACGGAGTCGAGCTGTAGGGTTCAGCCAAGCTATCCGACATCTAAAGAATCCAACGCTTTCAATCAAAAGTCCTCCGTCGCATCCTCAACGCTCCCATCTATGTCACTAACTAAACTATCCACAAAGACGTAGATATCCCATTCGTGTCAGACAAGATCCAAACTCTATTCCTCTCCGAACTCTCCACCCACATCATTCCACTAGCTCAAGCCCTCTCTTCAACGACCCATCCTAACGATCCTCCACGCCGCATAAAAAGACAGTGGCCTGGTGACCTCCTACCAAACCTTAAATCTCAATCAACGCTGAGAGTTTCGGGGCCGGCTCCTTTCCCCATCCTAATCTCCATGGTCTGACAGGTTCCTGCCAGGAATTTTATTGCAAATGTGCAAATTTTTTTATGGAAAACAATAAAATAAAACTAAAAAAAAACTTTTTCAAGCATTATATTACAGTTTGTTTTTTTGTTTTTATTTGCTTAATGATCGAACGCTTCGGACCTCTCCAAAAATTTTTCAAGCCTTAAAGCAATGTAAATAAAATGCAATGTTTATTTAGAAACGGCAAAGATCAATTTTTAAACCATTTCCCAAAACTTCTTGGGTTGCGAAATTGTTTAAGGATTGTGAGATTGATGCCTTTCCTGTATGGTCTGTCGGCGTTTCGGTTTCCCACCATCATCAGGTTTTAAAGGAAGGTTAAATGCCAGATAAACACTACATAGTTGGGGTCAGGAGTGGTCAGTGACTGTCTGACAATTTGTTGTAGTTAGACACGGTTAATTATGGCTAGTGATGTTAGTGATAGATGGTTAGTGACAGTTAGTAGTGGGAAGAGGTGGTAAGTGAAAGTGGTAGTTAGAGATTGTTGATATTTGTTAATGATAGTTCTAGTTAATGTTGGTTTGTGTTGTTAATTGTAGATGGTCAGTGACAGTTACTAGGTGCGTTTCGGAATAGAAGCTCAGAGAAATAAAGATAGTGAGAAGCCGACCGAACAAGTTTGAATTAACTGTCTAGTAGTATTTTCAACTTATTAGCTGGTCTGGGCCAGAGCTACATATACATATACATTTTCTGGCTTGTTTTCCGTTGTATAGGAGGTGATAACACGCTAAGTTGTTCCATATGGATATAGAATGCCAAAAACGGTGGGTTGGAATGAATTCCTGTGGGTGAAATACACATGTACCGATTTTACTTTCATACACTCGATTCATCTCTTCTTAAGAACATCTTTGTTAGCAGCTAGTCATTGCTGAATTCGGGAAAAGCGTTAAATTTTCTTCTCTAGGCTATTTCAGTTACAGCCCAGTTAATGTAAATATTAAGAGAAGAACTGCGGATGAAATAAATCTTATCGCTAGTGAATGTTTTCTTTATTTAAAACGTTTTCGTTTGTAAATATTTACGTTTCCAATTTAATAAATTATTATTATTACCAGAAATAAACTGGTACTTTTGTCTGTTCGGCCCAATGGAATCTTCAGCCCTCACATTTTATGTTGGTACTGCTTCGGAAACATTTTCATTTCTTTGTAAATACAAATAAGCCTAGTAGGGCAATGGTATTCATATATCCCCCAATACAGTATATAACCCTACGTTGACCCTTTGTGCTAATAAATACTTTAAAGAGGCAAACCCTATATTTATAACGAAAGCCTTCTGAACCAAACGATAGAGAGAAATCCAATAAGCTACTTGTATTTAAGATTATCATAACCTCCTCGCTCTCTACTGAAAGTTAAGACATTATGTTAAGACATTGAGCGATCTTTTTTCACTATGATCACTTTCGCTTTGACCTAAAGGGTTTTTGATTTATCATGCCCGTATGGCCTTTTCCGAGTCGGGTAAGAATGATTCGTCGCCTCCAACTCTTGGGAATGTGCTTCTCTACATCTTATTTTGAAATTATCGTTGTTATTATTGTCAGAGTTTTCTAGAGGGCTGCGGGGTGACGAACATGCTGCTTGGTCGTTTTCGACCATTTTGGTTTGGCAGACTGACAGTGAACGATTTTGGTGGCCCTGAAAAGGGCCGTTGTTATGGGTGAAGCCGTTGGTTGCAGTTAGTGGACTGATGTCGATGAACCGGATGTGGTTGCAGCGGTAGTGAACGGCAACATCTCTCGCACTTTTAACAGCCGACGTGTCTGCCTGGAACACAAGGCTCTTCGCTCGCTGCGGAGTCTACCGACTACCATACAACCACTTCCGGCTCATTGACATCAGTCCACGGACATCAACCAACGGCTCCCCGCACAGGCGCTTCTCAGGGGCACCAAAAGTGGTAACAACGTCGTCATGATGTTCCTGAGAACATTTGTACTTACTGGGAGAACGGAATGAACACGCCACTCTTCAATTGGAAATGCTCTATTGGGAGGCGCTATATGTTGCCCACTTGCTATCCTCTAGGTGTCATGACTGCATCTACAATGGTTTCACTTTTTAAGATGCTTTCTAAGGTGCTCAACTTGCTTAATTCGGACTCGTCGACGAGATCTCAAAGAGATTTGACTAATGAGCAAATCGTCAGCAGTGGCCACAGCAAGAAAACAAGGGTACTCACAACATTTCTCACACTTTCAACAGCCGAACAACCTGCTACCGACTACCGCTACGACACAACCGGCTCCTCGACATCAGTCCATGGATTTCAACCAACAGCTCCATCCAGGCCCTTCTCAGGAAAATCCTGGTCACTAAAATACCATAATTTGTCTGTCTACAGTCCCTGTTTTCTATTTCATCCAATGTATGCTGGCCGGCCTTGGGACCAGACGTCAGGAAATGATTTTATGTGACACATTGAATGCAGAAAT